TATCCTCATTCCGAATTCTATCCCTTCTTGTGTGCCCGCAAATCCAACACAGCATACGCATCAGCTACACTTAGTTGTTGGACATGTTGCCTTTTGGTAGGCCAACATTCAGCACCGTATAGATCGCGGGCGAATCGCCGTCCTATAAAACTTACCTTTTAGCTTTTGAGGCACCCTCTTATCACAGAGAACGCCCGAAGCTTGACGCCATTTCAACCACCCGGCTGCAATTCTATGCCTAACATCTTCATCAATGCCGCCATCCTTTTGTAGCATCGATCCCAAATACCGAAAAGTCTCCTTCCTGGCCACCACTTGCCCGTCGAGGCTAACGTCACCTTCGTCATGAGTAGTCATGCTGAAAGCGCACGTCATGTACTCGGTCTTTGTCCTACTAAGTCTGAAGCCTTTCGACTCTAACGAGTCCTTCCACAGCTCTAGCTTCCTATTTACCCCTGCCCTACTCTCGTCAACTAGCACCACATCATCAGCAAAGAGCATACACCAAGGGATATCACCTTGTATGTCTCTTGTGGCCTCATCCATCACCAAAAAAAATAAATAAGGGCTCAATGCTGACCCCTGGTGTAGTCCTATTTTAATTGGGAAGTCGCTAGTATCACCCCCACATGTTCGGACACACGTCATCGCATTATTGTACATATCCTTGATGAGGGTAATGTACTTTGATGGGACTTTATGCTTTTCTACCACCACATGACATTCCTCGGTACTCTGTCATAAGCCTTCTCAAGGTCGATAAAGACCATGTGCAAGTCCTTCTTTTGGTCCCTATATCTCTCCATCAACTATCGTATTAGGAAAATTGGCTCTATGGTCGACCTTCCAGGCATAAACCCAAATTGGTTTTGGGTCACACTCGTCACTCGTCGTAGACGATGCTCGATAACCCTCTCCCAGAGCTTCATCGTATGGCTCATTAACTTAATCCCACGGTAGTTACCACAACTTTGAACATCACCATTGTTCTTGAAGATCGATACTAAAGTACTTCTCCTCCATTTATCAGGCATCTTGTTTGACCGAAAAATGAGGTTAAAAAGCTTAGTTAGCCATACTAACGCTCTGGCGCCCAAGCATCTCCACACCTCAATGGGGATACCATCAGGGCCCATTGCTTTACCTCCCTTCATCCTCTTCATAGCCTCTCTGATCTCTGCCTCCTGAATTCTCCTCACCAAGCGTCTATTGGTATCCTCAAATGAGTCATCCAACTCTAGGGTAGGACCCTCACTCTCCCCATTAAACAGAAGAGACAAGGTTATTACATAAAAATCTAGGGAAAATGTCACATGCATCATTCTTCCCACTGTAGAGGTATTAACGCCAGTAAATAGTATAGGTAAGGAAAAGAAAAGTCCTGCCTAACGTTCAATAGAGACACAACAACATAGTTTTAAATAGCGAGCGACGAGGCGAGGCGATTCGCCAATGGATTTGCCATGAGGCGAGAGGTGAGGCCTCGGCATACAAGGCACCAAAGAGTAAATATAATAATATAGATAGTGCATAATATATTTAAGTTTATGACAAAAAACATCAAATATCATAAGAAATGAAAAAAAAAATAGAAAAATTAAATAAAACTGGAACAAAACGCATAAGATTTGAATACAAGATGGATAAACTAAAATAAAAGTCAAAAGATAGAAACCTACACAGAAAATTAATGATACAATAAAAAATAACAGATAAAATAAAACGAGAAACTGAAAATGAAAACGAGAAACTAAAATAAAACATGAGACTAAAACCGAAAAGGAAAAGATGAAAAGCTGCCCAGCCCAGGAAAGATAAAAGGCAGAAAAAAGGAAAAAGAAAATGCAGAAAGAAAAAGCAGAATTGAACATGGCACCAAAGAGACGAAAGAGAAGAAAACAGAAAAGGGAAAATAAAGCAAACAGAAAAAACAAATCCAAAAGGAAAAGAAACAAAAACCTTACTTAGTGCAGCGCTATCAAAAAATTGAGGAGACGGTTGGAATATCTAAAAAAAAACTCTCAAAAATCAAAACTGAATGTTCCTAGGCGTGGAAGGCCATCTTTGGCGAGAAGAAAGGCGGCGGCAAGGCGACTTTACACCCGCCTCTCGTCCATGGAGTCGCCATTTAAAACTTCGCACTGTAGGTATCAGGACACTAGAGACTTCATGTCCTCTGCTTATAAATCTAACTAAATGCACAGCTTAAACATTACTGGACCAAGGTGAAACCTTTTGAGGATCCAACACCAATAACTTATACTTTTCTAACCTTGTCTTGTTGTCGTTATTGTTGTTGTTGTTGTGATTATTTTCTGTCCTGTTAAATGGTATGACCATGTCACTCTATAGCATCACCTTTCACATGAAATCATCACTTCTATAGCTCTTCCATGTATCCTTATGTCTTACACCTCAGACACAGTAAAGCTAGGGATAACGGATTATGGTTGAATGCAGATCCTAAGATTAGTATTGCAGTTTATCTGTTTGAATGTTTGATAAATTAATCATTTTTACATAACTTGGTATAACATGGAGCTTTTTCACTTTTTATGCTGTTCAACACTGAGGTACTTGAGCAATATAAACTTGACCAAATCTGAACATAGTAGCATATATTCTCCACTTTTTGTCACTCTTAAATGTTACGCAAACATAGATAATTCCTTCCTCTAATGTTGCTCGAAGAAGGTTGCAGATGATGTGATTGCTTTCCCGTGATCTGCAGTCCATCATGATTTCGGATATAATAGTAACTATTTGCTCAGGACTCCACACCAAACGTAAAATGTTGTTCAGACAAATTTAGTGACAAAGTGTTCGTCTGGTAATCATGCTTCTATCATGTAATCCACTTATGCTGACATTGTCGATCTGTATGGGAAAGTAGCTGGACTGCATGTATCAGCTTATTTTACAGTCACAGACGCCCGTGTACAGAAGTTAGCTTATGATTTAATCAAGAAAAATGTTGAGTGAAAGAGAGGTGAATATCTTCATAAAGATAGACCTAAGGAAAGTTGAGGGATAGATAATGCCGCAAGAAAATCATCTAAGAGCGAAAAAATTATGCAGGGAAACAACTAACGATAAGATCAAAGTACAACTTTAAGCCTCATCAGTTTGTATCAAAAGAAAATGATTAAAAAAAAAAAATTATTTGTTCACAAAGCTCTACAAGCATGGAAACAGAAACGTTGAAAAAGGATAAAGATTTATGAAATCCACGAAGCTGGAATGATAAAGCTCCAGAAGAAGAGGATCACAAGTTGTGATATTGCTGAGATAACTTACAGATGTATAACTTTGGGAATTGGATATACCTAGCTGTCCAAAATCATTAAGTCCAGTAGCATACAAATCACCTCTTTCTGCCAAATCAAGATACTTATTCATGAGCATCATGAAAAAATAATAATAATAATAATAACTGTCAAAACCTTTGGTTCAGAAAGTGTTAGTCTCCAGACCACATAAATCCTCATGAGAGTCAAATAATTCGTATAATCACTATTCAACACTTGGAATAAATAAAAACAAGATAAATTCATGACCTGACACATTGTGGCATCTACTGTGCAGAAACATAACACATGTGTATACAGACCTTTTCTCAACAATTTCCACTCTAATCACACTTTAAACCCTTTAGTAAAATTTCATCAAACAAACAACAAACATCGCAATGACAGACTCGAACACCAAACACCACATAACAGATGATAATGAAATAGGCAAATTACCAGTTAAAAAAAGAGTGTGGGCACCGCCGCACGCGATCTCCACCAAACCCTGATCATCAAAAGCGGCTGGAGAAATAGGGCGGGGCCTCCACTGCGAGGCCAAATTCCCCAATCCCAGCCTCCCGAAATCTCCATTTCCCCATACAGCTCCAAATCTTTTCCCCCTACACAATTCTCCAGCAAAGTCCTCTCCCCTGCCAATTTCAACACAAAACCACCTTCTAAAACTTGCACCAAATCCTAATCTTGCTTTCTTGTACAACGGAGCGAGTTTCTTCATGCCGGCACAAGTTTCAGGCATCGTCAAGAACCACCGACAACCCAACAATTGTAGTAACTGTGAAATCCAAGAACATGTCCGGTCTCCAGCTTCTTATTCTGTGATGATTCTTGGGAGGCTACACATCGAGTATAGAAGACGATCGCGATAAGTAATATAGCCCAGTCGGAAATTGATTTAAAGGTTTCAAACATTGTTAGACGGTTGGGTGTTTGGACGCATAGGTGTCCACGTTTAAATATATTTAAGGATAAGGATTAATTGCATTTAAAATCCTCACATTTTCGGTAATTGCAAATAAAACTTTAACTTTTTTAATTTGGCAAAAAAATAGCAAATCTTTATTAAGTATTGCAAATATGTCTCACTCGCCGGATCGCCGCCAATCGCCACCCGCCGCTGGCCAACTTCGCCGGATGTTGAAAATTTTGATATGATCTTGTAGCTCCCCTCCGTGCCGACAACATATCCGAGTTTTACGAAAAAATTCCGACAATAAGGCTTTCAATTTTCCGGTCAAAATCGTAGATCTTCAATTTTTCTCCGGCATTCTTTCGCAAATTCCCGGTGACTCGCTTTGACCCATGTGAATCCAAAAATACTGTGAACTCCTCTCGCAAAGCCGCATCTAGTGACATCCATCTTCGGCGGAACCGGTGACTTTTTTCCGGCGACGACTTTTCCGGTCATCTTATTCAAGGTTTGGTATGGCCGGAAACTGATTTTGAGACACAATTGCAACACTTATTAAAGGTTCGGTATTTTTCTTTACTAAATTGAAAAAAGTTAAGCTTTATTTGCAATTACAGAAAAGGTTAGGATTTTAAATGCAATTAACTCGATATTTAATAGGGCTGAGCATGGGGACTCGGTTAATTTCGAACTTTTCTGAAAACCGAACTGAAATCACTCCGAGCCGGAAAATAACCGTTAATCGTTTCACTTTCTCCGAACCGAACCAAACCGAAAAAATAGTTGGTTCGGTTCTGGAGATTTCACAAATATACGCACCGAGAACCGAACCAAACCGTCTCGTATCATACCGAACCGAAGAACCGATTTATAAAAATAGATGGGTGTTATTAATATATTTCATATCTACTTTGATCTTATATAATTGGAAAATTTAAAATGCAAATAAAATATAGTAATAACAATTAAGCTCCACTTAATTTCATATTTAGTAATACTTGATCTACAATTGAATTTATCATTTTTTACAAAGAAAATTATTTAAAATGGAATGAAATGTGTAAGAAATATTTTTTTTAAATAAATAATATAAACTTTACATAAATTTGTGAAATACTTAGTCTTGTTCTATCTTATAACTAACATGGTATGGAAGATTAAAAAAAATATTATTTCAATAAAAAAAATTATTATATTTTGTTTGAATTTTAAATTTTCAATACTAGTTGCACAAATATAGAGTTAACAAAATTTATTTAAAAATAAAATCTTTAGTATGATGAATATTGTATTAAAAAAAACACATATAAAAGTTAAAATATAACTAGGTGGTCATTCAAAAACAAATACTTAAAAATCACCGAATATCCGAACCGAACCGAACCGAATTAAACCGTTCTGCTAGTCCTGAATACGAACAGAACCGAAAAATAAAAATCTCCGAATCGAACCGAACTGAACCAAATTTTTGGTACGGTTCCGGACATTGAATTTTAGTAATCTCCAAATATCGGTACGGTTTCGAAGTTTTGTCAATCTCCGAAGCATACCGACACATGCTCACCCCTAATATTTAATAATTAATAGGTTTAACTAAAAAACTAGGACCATGACTCTTGAGTTCAACCTCTCTCCAATCCTGTTCTACAGATTGGCCGCCACCCTCCTTAGCCTTCGTTCAGGACTCCTCTTCAGTGAGGGGCATTGCGCCGCCTCGCAATCACCGTCGCTGAAATGTGCTCCCCGTCCACCATCATCTCGATGGTTTCTCATCCGTTGGGTTTTTTTCATTTGTTTCGTGGTTGTAGCTCTGTGTAGGGGCCGACGAGGAGATGGTAGGGTTCGTCGGGCTTTTCTCTGTCTAGGCGCCACCAGCCCCTGTTTCCTCTATCCCCTTAGTGTTGCAGGTGGCACTTTCCGGTGGCGAGTGTTTCTTCTTCGGTGGCCGTCGGCTAGTTTCGTTGATGGTTGTCGAGAAGTTTCGGGCTTAGAGTCGTTAGTGCTCTTCCTCCCTCCTCCTAAGGTTGGGCGTAGGGCTCCGTCGGTGGTATTGGTTGGTGACTCTGGGTTTTATTAGACTTTGGTTGTTAGTAGAAGAGGGGTGGTACTTTGGGACTGATTTAAGTGTGTTTGCTTATGGGCGGTCTGCCTCTTAAGATAGCAGGTTTGGGGTGTGGGTCTTGTTAGGCCTTTGATGCAGTTTCAGGCTTGGTGCTTCGAACTAAGTCTCAGTCCGTGGGGTAATGGCTCTTGATGGTTGGTTGTGTGGCGTTGCAGTGTTGCTCATCTGTTGTTGAGGAAGGTGTTAGGCACAGTTAAGAATCGTCGAAATCATGCAAGTTACGGACAATTAAGAATTAAACTCAGCACATTAGAACTAGTAGCAAGGGTTCAACGCGTACCATTTAATATTTTGTTGACTCTGAGACATTTCTGATTTTTGTTGTTGAAGATCGTATGAAACTCAGAGTCGTTGGGCTGTCAGACTAGGCCTCGTCATCGCCTTGGACTCCGTATCATGGCCACTAGTTGTTCGGGCTCATCGGAGGGTCGCCGGACTACTGGTGGTCGCTGGTGCTCGATGTTGCCCGAGTATGTGTGCTGGTGGTCGGGTCTTTGCGGGCTTCCCGTGCTAGGAGCGCCTGCTGCTTCCTGGAAGACCTAGGTCTCCTTGGGTCTTCTCGCAGACAATTGCACTAGACGCCTGGGACGATGCTGGGAACACCAAAGCACTAGGACGGACGCGCGGGTTGCAGAGAACACGCATGTCACGCATACAACAAACGGGTATGTAGCGCCCCAAACGAGCATAATTAAAATGTACTTTTTTATTTATTTTTAGCTCAACATTTTATTAAAATGGAAATTTAGTGGATGTCCTCGTCCATTTAATTTTATTAATGAAGAATAAATGAGAGTTTATTTAGATGTCCACATCTATTTAATTCTCCTTAATTAAAAATCTCTTTAAATCATAATTTAATTATTTGAATAAATCCTAAGGAATAAAAGAGAAAAAGTATTAATCTAATATGATAAAAAAAAGCACAAATACTCTCGCCCTCAACCCTTCTCACGTGTGGAAAAAAAGGGAGAGAGAGAGGAATTCTTGTCTTGGTCACCAAGTTAGATTATGATTGAAGGAGAATCTCTTTCCAATGTAAATTAGGAATTATTTTCTTATTCCAAGTCCCCTAAACCAAGGCCTAAATATATCCCTTCTCCCATCAGATTTATTTTTTCCTACGAAATATCTTAGGAGCTCTTCAAACGAAAAAAAAATAAGAGAACCGAGCCCCTTTTTCTTCTCAGTCGAGCCTAGCCACGCGACCCGACCGGCCCTCAGCCGCGCGGCACCACAGGCGCGAGACACCAGCCCCGCGCGTCGTCGCCTCCCAGAAGCCCCCGCAAGCATCCACGCCCGACATCCAACCACGTGAAGCATCCTAGTAGCGAGGTCCACCCGCGCATCCACTCCAGTAGCCGAGATCCGAGACACGCGCACCCCACGCAAGAAACCGAGACCCTAGCGAAGCTTTTCATGAGCTGTTTACCTTCCTTTTTTCCCGAGCACGGTAAACTGATATTTTTCGTTCGAAGGGCTGAGATTTATGAGTTCTTAATAATAATCAAAGACAATTAAAGTTTAATCAAGATTAAAGAAAATTTAATGAATTTATGAGATCAAAGAAAATTTTAAGTGTGATCTTGGACCAATGAATTTCAACAGATTATTTTATAAAAGTGTTTAAGTCTGGAAAAGTTGAATGATTATGCTTGTTAAGTAGTAGAATGAGTCGAGGATGGCAAGTTAAGATCATGACGATGAGATTTCATGAAAAGGAAGGAAGTTCGATGTTATGTACATGTTTCTTTGATCATTGCCCATGCTTATGTGATTAGGATTAATTGCTGGGAATTATGTAATGGTAATCATGTTTTAATGTATGTAAAATAGTGCTTAGGATATTGGTTTAGGTTGCCTTTTTCGGGATTTAAATCGTTGAAGTTTCGTTAAGTTTTGCTTGAGAAATTACAGTTTCTGTCTCTCTGTTTCGTGCTCTAATTTAACCTTCAAGATCGCTTTTCTTGATGTTGCACTCGTTTTTTGATGATGCACTCTTTATATAAATTGCAGTCTTTTCAATTGGCTTTCTTTGAGTTCAAGAATCTTGCAAAAATCTTTTGTATTTTGGGAGATATACTCGTTTTAAAATCAGTGTGCAAGCAGCTTTCTGGAAAATATGGCAGCATGTAGTTGTTTATGTTGGTCTGTTTTCTATGTTCTAACGTGCTTAAATGAATTTTTGGTCTTCATGAAAATTGTAGGGCTATTTCTTAGAGTTCTATATATGTATGGACCAAGTCAAAATGATTGTTGTAGCAAATTATTTTTACTGAGTACCGAATTAAGGGATTCGTTCTCCGGGTCGATCTCTCGAGGAAGGTTAGCCGAATTATTATGTATGATTATTCAACCACAAAAAGATAAATATAATTCCTTAACATTCTAATTCCAAGATTGTGTTTGATTTTTAATTAGCAACTACGAAGATTAAAAATGTAAATTCAGAAAGCAGAGTAAAAACAATCAATCAACGAGAATAAGAAAGCTAGGGAGTC